ATGGAAGCAACAGTGTCCACCATAACCTTAGAGCGTTTCGCGTCGTCGATCTTGCGGAAGGCGGGCGACAACAAGTAAGTCGCAACTGCAGACTTAGTCGCGGCATCGACCTCCGTCTTGTGCCTCAAGGAAGACTCCTCCTTCTCCGCCTCCAACTCCTCGACGCGCATAGGGTAGCCATTGACATCTGCCTCCAGAATTTCCTTGTCCGCCATGAAGCTGTTCACTTTCTTAACACCTCGTGACAATTCTGCACGCAGATCCCTCATCGCATCTGCATGCTCTTTCTCCAGCTCCGCTTTCGCCTCGGGCCGGTAGGTCCGACGGCCCTTCAGAGACTTGGCCTCCAGCTCCCTAATTCGCTTGCGCATCTTCTCCGCTCGACATCTCCCCGCAAATTGGCCACGTGGAGCTTCTCGTTGGTCATCCCAATTTGAGAGAGACCAACACCAGCCTTTCATAAGCGAAAGCTTAAATATACATACTGATTAAGGCAAACAACACACAAAAAACGAGCGAAAAGATAAACTTACCGCTAGCAGAAAACGGGCAGCAGTGCCAACCCAATACTTCGATGATGAGTCCTCTACCTCCGTCTATTCTGGAGGCACGAGGAGTTTCCCGGATAGCTCGTGTAGGATGTGATGAGCGCAATCTTCACAAATTAAAGAATGACGAGAGAAGGCGACGGTCTCGGTCAGGGCGGTAGGTTTAGCCTTTTTACGACCTTGATCGGTATCCTCAGCTGGGGATTTGACAACACGCTTCCCCACATCCCATGCGGGACGACTGGCATCGCCGCCAGTATTCACAGTAATGACTCCATCAACCCCGTTGGTAAGCGTGGCCTGCCCCATGGGAACGGGAGTCTTGATCAGAGGCCCAAGCGCCCTTGCCGTCACCGAAAGGGACGTGGATGAACCTGGACTCGAAACATAACTGGGCGCGTCCCATGCTTCGGCGCAAATGCTCTATTGCGCCTCGGTGGCCTCTCCCTCAAAGTTACGCTCTCGAAATTCATAGCTGCACACCAAGAGAGAGAGAGAGAGAGAGAGAGAGAGAGTCAACACCACAAGCGAAAACAAGAAAAGCTTTTACAAAAGACAAACACACACTACTGACCATCTCCGAAGAGTCCAGTCAGAATGGCTCCCACGGAGTCAGGTCCCCAGGCCTCACGTCAAATGATACAGCTTGGCAAGTTTCAATGCATGATCTTTCTGGGACTCCAGTGTCCAAAGCTTCGCGTCCCAATTTTCTTTCCTCCAGTAAGCAAATCCCGTCCTCGGTTCCTTGTCACCAGAATACCACTTAGACGTCGGCTGCGCATAAAAGAAGTCTTTAAACCAAGGAGAATCCAGCTTGGGAGACCCTTTTACAAATCTGAACGCCTTGTCCCGCCCCCCGAAAGACCACACGTTAGACACCCGCCGAAGCCCGTATAAGAACCGAAAACCGGCAAACGTAGGTTCCTCCCTACTTTGTTCGTAGGCGAGCCGGTAAGCGCAGGCGTGAAAGATAATCTTAGGGGATAAACGCCCTAGAGTGCAGTTTAAGCACAGCAGGGTCTGTGTAATGATAGGATCAAGGGGGAAGCGCAATCCTAACTTCAACTGCTCGGTGTAAATCGTCACTCATCCTTTCGGACATGTTCCCGCTCTCGAGTTCGGGGATGGGGAGGCATACTTACACTCAGTAGGTAGTCGGTACGTTCGGAGGCGGGCGAGTACAGTAGCGGACTTCAGCTTTCTATGCCTATCCGGCCCCCGATCGAATGCGCTCGTGGGAATATCGCCTTTTCCCCACATGTTTGCATGAAAGCGCACCGAATACTCGCTATCTTCCACAGCGTGGTAATCCGTTTCTGAGGTATCCTCGGAAAGCTCCAAAGACGGCGAGTCAAGGCGCTCAGCGAACGTCGGGTCATCAATGCTCAGACCCTCCTCAGTCCTTACGCTCGCCAATGAAACGTCGAAATTGGCCAAGTTATCTCCAACGGCGGACGCGTCACCCCTAGCAGTTATAGTCTACGCCTAAACCCAAAGTAACGTCTGTCAATTCAAACGAAACGTCCCCAGCCCTACCTAAGAAAAATCGGTTGTCGTCTGACCAAGGTCCAACAAAGTCCACGTCTACCCCACTCGGGTCCTAGTCAATATCAGACATACTAAAGGGCGATAAAATGTTCAGATTAAGCATACCTGGAGCGGCAACGGTGATGGGATCTGATATCGTCTCTAACGATTCAAGGTTTATCGGAGAGGTGGAAGGGTGAACGACGAGGGCAATGCCAGTAGTAGCGGCGGCGGCGGTAGAGGCAGCAGTAGCATCGCCGTGATTAGTGGCGGCGGCGGAACTCACGGCCAATAACCTTTTCTGAGCCGGAGAAGACCCAGAGCTGGTCGACGCCAGCAAATTCGTGTCGAAATTACCAACATGCATTATGAGGCAGTGCCGGAGTTTGTATCGTCCACAGGGGGCTATGATTAAAGAAGAAAGTTATACAGCGTCGTCGAACGATGAACTGAAAAGAGCAGAACACAGATGAGCAGAGAGAACTTACCAAGTTTGAGGGAGTGAATGGCCTTTTAAAGGGAAGACAGCGTCGATCACGAGAGGGCTTCTCAAATAAATGCTAGAGGGCTATATAGGTAGCAATGATGACGGAAATTGAAAAGTCTGAGAACACGTCTCCCTAAAAAGAGGAAAAGACATACTGCCCGATACGCGACAGTCAGTTGAGCGATAAAACCATGAGGCGTAATGCACCCGATTCGGCAGCTGGAGGGAGAGGTTTACCCATGGCTCTGGGATCGCTTAGTTATCCCCGCCCCAGACTTAAGAGTCAGCCGCCGAAATCTGGAGGTTTTTACCCGCCTGCGGGACAATTGTTGGGCCTACGAGGATAACTAAGCGAGCCCATGTCATAAGGTGGCCCATTATGCCGCATAAGTGAGGCCCAATGGAATAAGGGTCGGCTCAATGGGTAAGTGTAAGGTCCGATAGAAATGCCACCGGAAGCGGGAAATCACCCGTAAGTGTACATAGGGAAGGTAAACTTGACAAGACAGCAGTAGCGGTAATCATGCCTACTCTGACAACATTAAATGCATCCGGAGGCGTAAGTACGTAAAGAGCACGTCAAGTATACGCCCAGCAGAGCATTAAATGCTCACACCAACTCTCATTCAACTATAAATAGAGGTCCAACCACATCATTTAAGGGTAGGGATGGCAACAAAACCCGAACCCACGGGTACCCACCCGACCCAACCCGGTCAACGCGGGTAAAACCCGTGTTGACGGGTTTTGGGCCGGGTTCGGGTTTAAACCCGCTACCCTATTCACCGGGTCGGGTTGGGTTTGAGTTTAGGTAAACCCGCCCCATGGGTACCCGCCCACACACATATAATTACTTTCCCGGTATATTTAATATTCTAAATAATATATCTTCCTTAAACAATTAATATTCTTTATGTTTGTGGAGACATATATAATTTGTTGTTTCTAATTGTTTAGAATGAAGTTGATATTATGAAGTGGAGAGTGAAGAAACTTAGTTGACGAGTAAGAAGCTTTCCATTAATCTTATTGTTTATAGATGTTTATCTTTAATTTTGAACAATTTGTATTGATCATTTGCGGTTTACTTGTATGCTCTAGATTGGTGTTTTTTGTATGAATAATTTGTATGAGAAAATTAATGTTAAACTTTTATTTTGAAAGAAACTTGTTATTGTAAATTTTTTACCACAAAAACCCACGGGTACCCACGAACCCGCGGATACCCAGCGGGTTGGATTGTGTTTGAGTTTTTCAAACCCAGCGGGTTTTACCCCGCATTTTTTAGCCGGATAAACCCATGAGTTTGGATTTGGGTTTGACAAAACCCGTCCCAACCCGCCCCATTGCCATCCCTATTTAAGGGTAACAAAACTACCCCTTTCTCTATCTACTTTCTCTCTCTTTCTAAATTCCAACTTGAGCATTGGAGAGTATCCGAGGCTCTCGCCTCCGGATCCTTCTTGCAGGAAAAGGTGAATGCTTGCGTCAAGGGAAAGCGTGATCTCTACAAAAGCGGTCTCCAATACGCCTTGGAACTTTCCGGGCTTAAACAAAATCGGAGCTTCTGTTTATTGTAAAAACACTTTATAATTTTTCAAAAATCGAGTTGTATATATATGTTTGATCCGACTTTAGATTTTGAAACATAAAAATACTTTTAAAAGTCAAAGCAAAGCTATGCATAACCTAATTCTAGTATTCACCATATTTATTAAAGAGAACGTTGAATATTCTAATTATATCATCCGGATACTGAAATTACATTATTATCATATTTATATGACAACATTCAAGAATAAATCTAATGATTATCATATCTTATTCCATCCTGGATCGTGGGATTCCATCTCCAACCTCAAGAGTTATTTTTTGTTCTTCTTTCTATTCACACTGTCTTCTTAATCACAAAGATATCAATTTGATTAAAATCGAAAGGGATCCCATAGGCTTTTGAATTTTGATCCACTTGACCACTTAAGGGGTCGTTTGGAAGTTGCGATTGTTAAATAGATGTATTGTTGAGAATGCATGTATAATATTATACATGTATTGTCGAATTTGATGCATTGTAGAATACAACGTTTGGTATGTGTTATTGTGTATGTCGCATCAGCTAAAAGGTGAGACAAAACAATCTCAACTCAACTATCTCAACAATCACAACTAAAAGTTGAGATATAACAATCACTCAAAATGAGTGATAGTTTCTGTCACATCACAAAAACAATTCATGTATTGTTTCTGCTAAAAAAACAAAAAAACGATACATTGTAAACAATACATACATAATAACAATCTCAACAAAACTATCGCAACTTCCAAACGACCATAATCCTAAGCTTTCCTGATAACACAAAACATGTTTACCATTTCTTTGTACAGTACGGCGATGGTGTAGTCTCACTCTGATTGCTAATTCGAGTTCACGTACGAATGTCATCACTATAACGAGTTAGAAAAGAAAAACCAAAATGGCCGGCAAAGTCTTTTAACTTTTAAGAGGTCGGCAAAGCTACCCTTTTTTCTGATTCTCATTCCTTTTCTCTTCAAAAACAAACACAAAGAACAAATACAGTCAACACCAACCACACCCAATGGCCTACTTTTATTCTTGAAATGCCATACAAGAAAAGTTCCCCATCCAGTCTTCCATAGAAGACTAGAACAACAAGAAAACTCAGGCAGGTCCAACCAAACACAAAGACAAAAGGCAACAACAAACACAAAGACAAAAACAGCCTCCAACCCACATAAACAGTCCCAACTCCTCAGATCGACGAGAGCAGCACTGTTTTTTCCTATAGTTTCAGTGTTTCTGCTGCATAGCAAGGACCTTGGCCCAAGCAGGCCTGGCAGTGATATCAGCAATCCAAGCGCTGACTTTGGGGCGAGAATCCAAGAGCTTCTTGGTGGGCGTTCCAATCAAGCACTGAAGGTTGGGGAGGTGGTGGAGATCGACCAATGTGAACTGGTCGCCTCCCAGGTACTTGGATTTGGACAGCCTCGCCTCGTACACATCCAGAACTTTGGTTAGCTTGGCCTCATTGGCTTCCACTGCTGCTGGATCCGTGGTCATCCCGAACATGGGCTTGAACACTTGCTCCCACCCCAGCTGTGACGAAGCCGGCTCGAAATGGTTGACTTCCACTTGCAGCCATACTTTCATCTCTGCCTCTCCGGTTACCAGCTGTGCCCCTTTGCTTGCGAATTTCTGGGCTATGTGGTCTGTGATTGCCCTTGATTCTGCCATCACCATACATACAACCAACCAAAGATCAATAGTTCCATCAGTTTTCTTTTGACAGAAGTTAGAGTACTAATTGATTGTCTATGGTCTTTAATTCACTGACTTCCACCACTTGTTTTGACCTTTAATCAGAGGTTCTACATCTCACTTAGACACCGTTTTATAAAACCTCTGATTTCAAGAACAATCTCAACTCTGAAACTACCCTTTAGCACTCATTGACTGAAAAGAAAAGGGAAAAGCTAGTTTCTGGAACAGTGTTATTTACCGAAGAGGGTCAAGTCGCCTTCTTGATAAGCGGGAACCTGCCCGAATGGCTGCAAGTAACAGGAAGTCACGAACAGCGGAAATCGAGTCAGAGTCAGAGGGATTTGGGTATTTCCTCAAGTCCAGAAAGAAAAGGAATTGGTTTCAGATTCTGGGAAAAACTTACGTTGAGAGATAGGAAAGGTTCCTTCTTGTGCTCGCCGGTACGCATGTCGACGTTGACGAATTCAAAGTCAACATCTTTCTCGTAAAGAGTGGCAAATACCCTCTGAGAGGCAGTGGAGAAAGGGCTTCCGTGGATCTTGATCGCTGCCATTCTTGCGCTTAGAAACAGAGAGAGATGTAGAAAAAAGGGGAGCTATATCAGCTATGTGAGAACTGAGAACTGATTGGAAAGTGGGAAAGAGGGTTTAATGCGGCAGAGTGGCAGTGCCTGGTGGAATATTTAAATAGGGAAGCTGGGATTGGGAAGGAAGAAAGGAAACCTGGAATAGACATATTCGATTTTGATTAGTATTTTACCATTTTTTGGGCCCAAGTGGGAATGCTCGTAGTTTGGACAAATGGCTGAACGTATCACCGACGATTCATTGTGGAAGAAAGAAGTTTAGAAAAGTCAGCAAAAGAAAGAAAAACACTTCTGGTATCTGGAATGTGGATTCTGGTTCTGGAATGTTCTTCCCCTCCCGGTGGACAAAATTGTTAAAACAAAATAAATTGTTCGTCATATTTCACAAAGCCTTCCTCTTCTTTGTCTAAACGAGATGGGATCTTCATAGATCATAACCATGGTTCAAGGTTTTAACACCCGGCAGAATCATGTGTGATATTAGGGTTGGTTAGTGATTACTCTGTCATATAGAAAATCAATTTCGTTAGTTGATTCATCAAAGATTAACGGTTAACTATCAACAGATACTGCGGTTAGCGATTACTTATTGGTTAATTGCCTACCCGTCAAAAAGATTACAACAAATTAAAGAATTGAAATATCATACCGGAGTTCGTACCGAAAAAGTGAGTTGTATGATATTTTAGACTGAAATCGTGGTTTAACTTGGGTTTAACCATTTCATAACGCTAAATACGGCCTATCGATTTTGCTTACGGTACGAGGTTTTTCCGGTTGAACCGCCGGTACGGTATGATTTTTCAATCCTTGCAACAAATACTTCAAATTCATTATACATCATAATTAAATAATGCGTGACTGATTCAAGGTAGAAGACATAAAACTATAATAAATTCATTATATGGTATTGTCAATGTGGTATTTGGAGAGTCAAATAACTCATTAATTGTTCATGTGGTTTTTTTGTGTTATTTTAGCAGTAATTGGATTAAACTATCTCGTTTGATTAAACCATGCACATGTGGTATTTGGAAAAAGAAGAGAGACAAACAAGTTATTTCGAAATAACTAGGGATATGAGTTATTTCAAATAACTCGTTACCAAATAACTCATTTAAGTAAAATGCTGCCAAAACGATTTATTTGGGTCCAAATAACTCATTATTTGGACCCAAATAACTCACTCAAATACGACCTCGAAATATCATCATCCCAAGTTCACAAAATCAAAATTGAACTCCAGACACCAAGTCTCTAAATGCAACCCCAAGTCACCAAGTTCATCTCCAACAATCAACCATGCAAACTATGTTTGGGTTTCTGATGAGACCAACCTAACTCGATACCTACTAAACTACCATCCCAGCCGAAGGCCAAATGCAACCACCGATCAGGTGTGGTATAGCGGAAATAATCTTTAATTATCAACCTAGGCGACATATCTACTTTTACTTTGTGAACTATTGGTTATCTAGCAAATCAAAGTTTGGTTTCAACTAACAACTAAACATGCAAAACAAATAAAGTTTGATTGAATTCTATTTAGAGAAACTCACACAGGTGTATTTCCCTCTAGCTACAAATTAGACCAATGATTGACGTTCCAACCTTGCCCACTCAATATTTATACCGGGGAGAATTCTAAACCTGCTTGAACTCCCTATTCGAGTTATCCAAACTCACCTATGATGAACTATCTGGAGGAAGAGTTTTCACATCCAACAAAATAGAATACCAAGGACATGCAATTTAGATTCCCAATAAATGATAATTATCTAATATGACATTGTATTTAGATATCACGCTCGGTCAATCTAACTGGATATCCAACAATGCAGATTTGAGAAATTTCTCTAATCAACCTAATTGGATATTCTCTATTTTAGATAATAGCACAACTTGGAGAGTTGGATCAATACCCAAACCAATTCTATGAAGTACCACAATTCTATATATAATCAAGAGTTCAATCAAGCATAGGAATCAGTCAATCATCTAATCTAACATATATAGCTAGATTTCTACAACACCCAAATAAATATGGTTTCTACTCCATAGTGAGAGAAAGAGGAAGAACACAAACTCAATAAGAGAAATCAACATAAAATTAATGGGTTTTTCTCCTAGAGCTTCAATCTTTACTCCTTTGTTGGAAATTTTCAATCCAAATGGGATTTGAAGCCTTGTATCTCCACCTTTGGCTCTTTGTTCGTCACTCTCTCTAGGAGGCTACTGTTACTTTCTCTCTCCAGAACTCCTTTGAAATCTGGCTTCAGCTCCTACTTATACCCAGAAGTTTCGAAGCCATGATTAAATGTCACGATTGAAACCGTGACATCTTCAAGCGCCCGTGAAATGCAGTTTGACTGTGATGGCACTTTATATATAGTGTTTGTCACTCCTATTCTTAATACATTTTCCTCTTCTATCAAATCATCTTTAGCTATTTCAATAGTATTTTCTATTTAAATCACAACTATTTGATCAATGAGCCTTTAATAGACCTAGACTATAATCTTGTACTCTTTGATGCCTTCTTTGTATATTTTTTTATGATTTTGAAGGCACAAAGCAACCTAAGGAAGTTTCTATCAAGCATTGGAGAACTCTTCAGGACCAAATGATCTATAAAGAAAAGAATATGGAGTTTTAGTGAGAAAGAAGAGGGTCAAGGAAAGAGGAAACCACTATAAGTCATTTAATAATCTCAAGAAAAGTCCATATGAGGAAGACTCGGCCCAAACTGAAGAAAGAACGAGTGGCAGTCCAACATTGGTCCAACCGTTGCTATGAAGCATATGTCAAGACTCAAAGTGCAAGGAGTCTTCGTCCAAGGTCAGAGGAACCTATCCCACGAAGAAAAAGAGCAGCGATTTACCGCCGCCCTATCTCCGCCAAACCCTAATCCTTGTGGGAAAATTTTACTTAGCCCACAAGGTTTAGAAAACTCTTTCCTAGTCGGTTTAAGACGTTTTAGGTCGGGATCTTGCCTTGTAAATAGAGGGCATGACCCATTAGCTTAGTAAGACCACACAAACACACAAATTCTTTGTACAGTTTGCATGAGTGATAGCCTAGTCTTCGTAGGAGAGCCTGTAGCTAAGGAGACGTTACCATCATCAATTGTGATACCTTCCCTCTCTTTTATGTAGCTATTCGAAATTGATTTTATAAAGATGTGAACTTGTTTATTCTTATGCAAATGAATGTTATGATCTCGTCTCATGCTTGTGTTTGTCTATGTAAATATTAATGCCTATTGCTTATGGATGGATACTTTAGTTTTGATGCTTATCTGATGGTCATTGATGCTTATATAATATGAATTCTTCTTTATCCTCGATTCTTGTGATTCTATTGTATGCTACTATATGCATTGGGCTTAGTATTACCTAGATTGATGAGTAATTATCCTCTAGTGATACCCCCATTGATGCTACTTGAGTATAGAGGGAATGATAAACTATTTATACCTCGAGTGGTTTCAATGCTTGACTATTGGATCATCGATGCTATAGACTATGATTATGGTTCACCGAAGCCCACAATTAAGGTAATGATATCCTAACTTCCTTGTTCTTCATTAATTAGGTAATAGTATGAAGGAAAAGCATGCATTAGCTAGTTAAATCGCAATCGCAAGAAGCACATGCACAGGTAGAGAATGACTGACTCGCCACGAACTACGCCTCGATTTAAATCCCGACTAGAGTCCAAGTATAAACTCTAGTCGGGTGTAGACGTGTAGTATAGGGCAAGTATATTTTAATTGTCAAACCTGGGTCGGTCCATATACCCCATTTCAATCGCTTAAGTTGTTATCTAGCAATCGATTTTGGGTTTAAAACTAAGAAAACTAGAAAATAAACAAACAAGTAAAGTAAATCTAGGTGGTCCCAATGAGAGAAGAGTTCACCCTGGTATTGTCCCCCTAACTACAAATCAAGATCGACCAAACCGAATGAAAATGTGTGAAGTTGTGTTCATACACCGTTAGGAGGGCGCAACAAGTGAAGGAAACCTCACTCTCTTAATCAATTGTTTAAGGAAAACAATTAAACTAGAAACCCTAGCTCTCTCAATGGATGGATTAAGGATTGCTACAATAAACTAGCAAGTCTAGCTCTCTCAACTTTTCGGCTAAAGATTGCAATAAGCTAGGAGTCCTAGCTCTCTTAACCGCTTAACTAAGGGTTTCAAGAACCAATCCTCGGAACTTAATTCGAACGGAAAAATAACACCCAAGTTAAAGTGCTAAATCACAGTTTGAGGCTTGCCCTAATTTGGCCTAGGTAAGTGGCTCAATTGGCCAAGTAATCTAGCTTATCAAAGCCTCCTAACAACAAGAGGGTTTTCCTCTACCTAGGTCAAATTGGCATAGTAATGAGAAATGAAGAACACAACCCAAACATCATGAAAAAACCTCAAACCTTGCATTAACTACAAACCCACACACAAAGCATTCAATTAATACAATCTATCTCATATGTCAAGCTAGGCTTCACAATCCCCAAGTGAAGAGGTAGGCTATTCCATAGCTAGGCAAGAGAAAACAACAAAAGGAGAGAAAGAACCATGAAGAGATGACAATCTCCCTTCCTTGTTGCTTGAATCTTCCTTGAGAGGTAAGAATCTTCAATCCTCTAGCTTGAAGAAAGCCCAATCTCCTTCTTCCTCCTTGAATTGCACTTTCTCTCTCTAGATCTGAAGAAGAAATCCTAACTTCTCACTAGAAACCCTCTTTTATTCTGCACACTAAAAAACTACCAAAAAGCTATCTTTTCCTTCCTTCATCTGCAGATTTCAGCTATAACACGATCACGAACGCGGTCGTGTTCCCATGTTCACTTCCCAACACGCTGTGTTTTGCCGTCTGCGAGAAAAACCCTAACATGGCCAGAGAACACGGGCGTGTTCCGGCCGTGTCCTTCAAACTCGACGAAACGCTCAATTTTTGGCATACATCACACCCTCTTCATTGATTATCACGGTCTTGGCGAACGTGATAACTTCTATGAACGCGAGGCGCGTGAAAGTCTTCAGGAACTCAACTGCTGGCACGACCAACGAAAATTGGCGTGCTCAGGTCATGTTGATCAAATGGCAAGAATCGTCTGTCGCCTGAAACACTGTCGTGTCCAGGTTGATGGTGATGAACATGGGCGGAGATCACAGCCGTGTTCCGGGCCGTGTTCTCTCTGTTTTCTTCATTTCTTGCCATTCTTACCTCCATACGTCCCGAAACTCGTCCTCGACCTTCCCACACATGCTAGGACCTTAAATG